AAGGAGATAGATCAACTAGACAAAAAATAAACAAAGAAATAACAGAACTAAACCAAACTTGTGAAAAAATGGACTTAGTAGACCTTTACAGTGTTCCACCCAAGAGCATCAGAAAACACATTCTTTTCAGCTGCTCATGGGACATTTTCTACAATAGACCATATGCTAGCACATAGAAAATGCTTAAGTAAATGCAAAGGAATTGAAATTATCCCATGCATACTATCAGACCACAGTGCAGTGAAATTGGAAATTAATGACAAAAGAAATCACAAAACCTCCATAAACACATGCAAATTAAATAACACCCTCCTAAAAAACCAATGGGTCACAGATGAAATCAAAGAAGAAATTAAACACTATTTACCAATCAAGTGAAAATGTAGATACAACTTACAGGAAGCTGTGTGATACAATGAAAGCAGTCCACAGAGGGAAATTTATAGTTGTGAATTCCCTCCTCAGGAAAACAGAACAAGCACAAATAAACAGTCTTATGCTGCACCTCAAGCTCCTAGAAAAAGAAGAGGAAGTCAAACCCCAAACCCAAAGAAGACAGGAAATTATAGAGGTCAGGGCAGAAATTAATGCAATGGAGACTAAAAAAACAGTACAAAGAATTGATGAACCAAAGAGTTGGTTCTTTGAAAGAATAAATAAAATAGAGAAACCGCTAGCCAACCTTATGAAAAAAAACTAAAGAAAAAAAAAAGAAATACATGCAATAAGGAATGAAAGGGGTGAAATCACTGCAGATCCTGTAGGAATTCAGAAGATCATCGATACCTACTTTGAAAATCTTTACTCTCATAGGATGGAAAACACAGAGGAAATGGACAGATTTCTAGGTACATATGAATTACCAAAGCTGAATTAAGAAGATATAAGAATCTTGAATAACTCAATATCAGCCAGTGAAATTGAGAATGTAATAAAAATCTTGCCAATGAAGAAAAGCCCAGGTCCTGATGGGTTCACAGCTGAATTCTGCAAGAAATTTAGAGAAGATTTAATGCTAATTCTTCTCAAACTCTTTATTGAAATTGAAGGGGAAGGAATTCTCTCCTACTCATTCCTGGAGGCAAGTATTATCCTGATACCAAAACCAAAGAAAGACCCAACCAAAAAAGAGAACTACAGACCAATCTCCCTAATGAATATAGATGCAAAATTTCTCAATAAAATACTAGCAAGCAGAATGCAACAAATCATCAAGAAGATTATACACCATGCCCAAGTGGGATTCATACCAGGAATGCAGGGATGGTTCAGTATACGCAAATCAATTAATGTAATACACCATGTCAATAGAACCAAAGACAGAAATCACATGATCATCTCCATTGATGCAGAAAAGCCTTCTATAGAGTCCAACGCTCATTCATGTTGAAAACCCTACAGAAAATAGGAATAGATGGCCTTTACCTCAAGCTGATCAAAGCCATCTATGATAAACCAACAACTAATATCCTAGTAAATGGTCAGAAATTGAAATCTTTAACGTTAAAATCAGGAACAAGATAAAAATGTCCACTGTGACCACTCCCATTCAAAATATTTCTAGAAATATTGGCTAGAGCAATTACACAAGAGAGAGAAGTAAAAGGAATAAGGATAGGAGAGGAAGAACTGAAATTATCAATATTCACAGATGACATGACACTATATAGAAGACCCCTAAATCTCCACCAAAAGACTTACGGATTTAATAACCAAATTCAGTAGTGTAGCTGGATACAAAGCCAGCACTCAAAAATCAATAGCATTCCTGTACACAAGTAACAAACTTAGAGAGAAATTAAGGAAACCACACCTTTCACAATAACATCTAAAAAGTTGAAATACTTAGGAATCAATCTAACAAAAGAAATAAAAGATCTATACAGTGAAAATGACAGTACTCTGAAAAAAGACCTCAAAGAGGATATCAGAAAATGGAAAGATATTCCTTGCTCATGGATAGGAAGAACTAACATTGTGAAAATGGCCATACTCCCAAAATTGTTTACATATTTAATGCAATCCTGATGAAAATTTAAATAGTATATCTCACAGAATTTGAGAAAACAATCCTAAAATTCATTTGGAACCAGAAGAGATCTAGAATAGCAAACATAATTCTGGGCAACAAAGGCAAGGCAGGGAATATCACAATCCCTGACTTCAATTTATGCTGCAAAGCTAATGTGATAAAAACAGAATGGTACTGCTGAAAAAACAGACCCCAGGATCAGTGGAACAGATTAAAAGATGCAGAGATCACTCTAAGCAGATTCAGGTACCTTACCTTTGACAAAGGTGCCGAACACCTTCACTGGAAGAAAGATAGCCGCTTTAATAAATGGTGCTGGAAAAACTGGTTTTCCACATGCTACAGCCTAAAATTATACCCATATCTCTCACCATGCACTAAACTAAAATCAAAATGGAGCAAAGATCTAAATATTAAAGCAGGAACACTACTTCTGCTGGAAAACAGAACAGGTAAAACTCTTGCACACGTACGTCTAGGCAAAGACTTTATGAACAAAACCCCAGCTGCATCGGAAATATAACAGAGAATCAACAACTGCAATCTCATTGTATTAAAAAGCTTTTACACAGCAAAATAAGCTGCCAATTGAGTGATGAGACAACCCACATTGTGGGAAAATATTTTTGCCAGCTGTTCCTCAGACCAAAGACTAATATCTAGAATGTGTAAAGAACTGAAAAAACAGACCCCTCCAATTTAAAGACTGAATCCAAAAATGCACATCTGAAATGAATAGACACTTCTTATATGAAGATGTAAAAGTGGCAAATAAATATATGTAAAAATGTTCAACATCACTGGTCATTCAGGAACACATTAAAACAGCCCTGGGGTTCCATTTCACTCCAGGAAGAAAGGTTATTATCAAGAAATCAACCACTAGCAAATGCTGGCGGGGCTGTGAGGGAAAGGAACTGTTTCCACTGTTCATGGGAGTGTAGACAGGTGCAACTACTGTGGAAATAAAAGTGTAGAGATTGTACACAAAACTAGCACTAGAGGTTCTATCTGACTCAGCTATCCCCCTTCTTGGTATCATTCCAAAAGAATTAAAAGCATACCATAGCAATACATCCATATCTGTGTTTATAGCAGCACAGTTTATAATAGCTAGATCTTGGAAAAAACCCAAATGCCCATCAACCACGGACTGGATAAAGAAGGTGTAGGGTTGTTTTTTATATAATAGAGTACTACTCTACTATAAAAAATAGAAGACCTTGAGACATTTCTAGCTAAATGGATGCACCTTTACATCATAGTCTTAAGTGAAATAAATTGGTCACAGATGTAAATTTTTCATGGTTTCTCTGGTGTGAGGAATCAAAAGTGTAAATAAGGACCAGACTGTATAATAGATATTTCGAAGTGGGTAGAAAATGTTCAAATGAAAAGGAGAACCAAGGAGGGGGAATGGGGAAATGAAGGAAGGCATGGTGAAAAAAGAGAACAGAAGGAAAAAACTGGAAACAAAACTTTTGTAAATAAGGAGGGGAAGAGGGCTTAAAGGGAGGCGAGGGGAATGGGACTAAAAGAAGCAGCAAGATATATCATGTATAGGCATAAATTCACTATGATGAATGTCATTATTATGTATATCTGAAATGTACCAATATGAAAATACAGTATAAAAAGCAAAAATCAGCACTGAGTTGGAATGAAGAACTAAATGTGTGGTGTCAGAGCTATTAAAATCATGAATACTCAAGGGTAAGCTTATTTATGAGTGGGAGGTGATGAAATACAAAATTCTGTGCTAAAGGGGAAAAAAGACCACCCCTTGCTTAAATGGTGAGTTTCAGATATCACACAACTCCAGTAATTATGTGTGTTCATTGTCTTGTGGGCATTCAAGGAGCTAAGCACAGAACTTTATTGACATAGTGGTATTTTTCTTCTGTGTGTCTTTTTCTTCCTTTCGGTTTCTGTACTCTCATTTTCTAAAACAGTAAAGCATATTCAGTTCATGGACAATGCATTCAAATATCTATCAGTGAGTAGTTATTTATTTAATTAGTAGATTTTCTATCCTAGAAAATGGTCCCGTATCATCCAACCATCCCCTCAAGCCAAAATTCTAAGTCTTACATTCTTTCCTTCACTCCCTTTCCATGCAAACCTATGCAAGGGCTAGGGATATAGCTCAGTGGTAGAGCACTTGATTAGCATGCATGAGGCCCTGGGTTTCTTCGCCAGTACCATACATAACAGTTATATGACCAAGTTCTATGGCTTTATCTCCTTTATAATTCTTGTCCTTGTCTCCTGGCCTATTCCATGCCTTTTTTGAATGCCTTTGTTCAGTCCGTTTTTGGTTACAGATTCAGTCACCTCCTAACTGATATCCATGTTTGTTGTCTTTTCTCCCTTGAGCCAGTCAATTTCCCTCTCCTGCTAATAATCCTTAGATGTCTTCCTACAGTTTCAAGATAAAGATCCAAACTCCCTACTTTCGTTTAGAGACGCTCTATGATCTGACCTACTTTCTGATCTTGCCTGTTATCCCTACAGACATGTTTAGCTACAGCAAGACTGAAACAGGTGTGTTATGCCATCTCATCCCTCCATGCCTCTACACGTACTCTTCTCTCAGCTTAAAACATCCTTTCCCTACGCTGAGTTTCACTAAATTTTCAGATCTCTTGCAACCCAACTCTAACTCACTTTTTCAGGATGCCTTTCCTCATTCTTACAGTTGTGGGTCTCTTCTACAGAGAAGAGCTCCCAGCAACCTGTGCATTCTTCTGTCTTAGTACTTAATAATGCATTGCCCTGTCATTGCTGATGCACACATGTGTCTCCCTTACCACCCACAATGCATGTAACCAAAGGCAGAGGTTCTTTTCTTCATTCTGTTGGAATTGCCAAAACCTAACCTTGGGTCTGTCCAATGATAGATTCTTCATACATGTTTGTGACATGAATACGTGAGACTCTGTGACATAATAATACTTTTACTTTTTAGGTACATGGTTCAGTGGCCTGGTGGCCGAATCCTGCATCGCCATGAGTTAGACACCTTCCTTGCACAGGCAGTGTCTACCCAGCTTTATGAACCAGAGCAACTCCAAGAACTCAAGGTGATTTGGTCCACTCTTCCTTAAGTTCTTCCTTTTATGAGCTTATAGCTGTACTTTAGGTCTTTTTTTCCTGGAACTAGGGAGAAGAATGAATTCTTCAGGTAAGTTTTTAATTTACTCTAGCCTAAACATTATGTCTATAAATAAAACCAGGTACCAGTTAGAGTTACGTGTGACACTGTCCCTCTATTGATGAGAATGAAAAGATGAAATTGTACAAGGCAAATAGACCATTCCCTGTAGACCGTGATAAGGATCCTGACTCTACATACCAGAGGGGGCTGGGGATGTAGCTCAGTGGTAGAGGACTTACCTAGCATGCACGAGACCCTCAGTTCTGTCCCCAGTACAATAGAGACACATACACACTTTAGAATGGCTTATTCTAATGTCCCTGTTTGTCTGAGTAAATGTACAGCCTTCCCTTGAGTAATATACATTGTGCATTAAGGGGAAATGTAGAAGAACATAAGGAAATAATTAATCTACCATATAACTAAAGGCAATAGAACATAGTATAGAGTGTAGGCTCTGAAGCCAGGCTTATTTGTTATATTGTTTTTTGTTTGGTTTTTTTTTTGGTTTTTTTTTCCGGTACCGGGAACCTAACTCACAACCTTGCACTTGCCAGGCAGGCGCTTTTGCCACTGAGCTAAATCCCCAGCCCCAGCCAGGCTTATTTGAATTTGGATCCTGGCTTCGTTATCTTCATTACATGATCTTGGACAGGTTACTTAATCTTTCTAGTTTCAGTTTCCTTACTTGTGAAAATAATAAGTAAAATAATCCATGTAAAACAGCATAATCTCTTACATATTTTTCTAATTTTTTATTGGCACATGTTTGTGATACATAATATTTACATGTGTTTTGGGAAATTTATTCACATAATATGTTGATCATTTTTAACCCTTTATCCTCCCACCTCCTTCCCCTTTTACCGTAATACCCTTCCTCATCTCCAAAAAGTCTGCCTCCCTATTTCTTATCACCTCTTCTTTACTCCTTATTCATGTTTTGGGTTTCTTATATAAGAGAAATTTTATGATATTTAACATCAACATCTGACTTATTTCACTTAATATTATGGTACCAACATCCATCCATTTTTCTACAAATGATAGAATTTGTTCTTTTTTGTAGCTGAGGAAAATTTATATATGTATATATATATATGTATGTATGTATATATATAAAAAATGTTACTATATAACAGATATCATTTTCTTTATCCATTTGTCTGTTGATGGGCATCTAGGATACTTACATAGTTTAGCTACTGTAAATTGCACTGCTATAACCGTGAGTGTGCATGTATCACTATGAAATGAAGACTTTACTTCCTTTGGAAATGTCACCAAAAGAGAAAAGAAAAGCTAGTTCTAATGGAATTTCTATTTTTTGTTTTTTGAAGACTCTTCATGCTGATTTCCATACTGGTTATACTACCATACCTTTCTACCAATATAGGTTTCTTCTTGCCTCACATCTTGCCAGCTTTTTTTGTTTTGTTTTCTTGATGATAGCCCTTTTGACTGGAATAAAATGGAGTCTCAGAGTTGTTTTAATTTCCATTTCCCTAATGCCTAATGGTGCTGAACATGTTTTCATGTGCAGTACTTGTCCATTTGAACTTCTTTTTTGAAGAAGTATTTGTTCATTTCATTTGCCCTTTAAAAAAAAAAACCAGGGACTCACTATGTAGTTCAGGTTGGCCTTGAACTCACTATATAGAGCCCAGGTTGGCCTAGAACTCATGGTGATCCTCCTGCCTCAGCATCCCGAGTCCTGGGATTGTAGGTGTTCTCCACCACACCTGGCTGCATTTTGCCCATTCATTTTGGGGAGGATTTAATTTTTGAGTTCTTTGTATTTTCTAGATATTGGTCCTGTATCAGAAGAGTAGCTGACAAACCTTTCTTCCCATTCTTTATGTTGTCTCTTCACTGTTTCCTTTGCCTTGCAAGTACTTTTTCATACAATACAATTTGTTGATTCCTAGTTTTCTGTTTTGTTTTGGTACTGGGAATCGAACTCACTACCTCACGCTTGCCAGGCAGGCGCTGTGCCGCTGAGCTATATCCCCAGCCCCCTGGTATTATTTCTTGCACTGTTAGAGTTCTGTTCAAAAAGTGCTTGCCTGTCCCTATGGAGTCAAGTGTTTCCCTATTTTCCAGCAGTATCAGCCTTTTTGTTTTTATATCTACTTTTACATGTAGGCCTTTGATTCATTTTGGTTGGATTATAACAGAGGGTGAAGAGTGTGGGTCTAGATTTATTCTTCTGCATATGAATAACCAGTTTTCCCAGCATGAAATGTTAAAGATGCTGTCATTTCTCCAGCAGTCAGATGTCTAAAAGTGCATAGGACTTTTTGTATGTCTTCTGTCATATTCCATTGGTCTACATATTTCTTTTTGTGCCAGTACTGTGCTGTTTTTGTTACTATAGCTGTGTACTATAACTTGAAATCTGCAATTGTTATGCCTCCTTTGTTCTTTTTGCTCAGGATTGCTTTGGCTATTCTGGTTCTCTTCAGGTTCCATATAAACTTTAAGATTATTTTTTCTAGTTCTATAAAGAATGGTGTTGGTATTTTGGTAGGAGTTGCATTATATCTATAAATCTCTTTTGATAATATGGAAATTTTCTGGATATTGATTCTGCTTGTCCAAGAACAAGAGATGTCTTTCCATTTTCTATTGTCCTCTTCAAAGAACTATAGTTTTCATCATAGAGACCTTTCAGCTCCATAGGTTGATTCCTAGGTATTTATTTTGAAGCTATCATCAAAGGTTGTTTTCTTCATTTCTTTCACTGTGAATTCATTATTGGTGTATAGGAACACTATTGATTTTTATGTATTGACTCTGTATCTTGGTACTTTGCTGAATTTGTTTATTAGCTCTAAGAGTCTTCTGGTAGAATATTTTTTGATTTTCTATGTAAAGGATCATGTCATTTGCAAATAGTTAGTTTAACTTCTCCTTGCCTTTTATTTCCCTCTCTTGCCTAATCTGAATAAAATTTCAAGTACTAGAGTCTGCCAAAAACTGTATAGATACTTCAAAAAGCTTGCATAAATATTTTAACACTAAATTTATTGAGATATCATGAGAGTAATACAAGTTACCTTTGGCCTGTACAATTACAAGAGGTTCCCAAAGTGGTGGTGATTAGCTTCTAGACATTTATTAGTATGGTGAACTGCTCTTTGGGTAACCTTGGTCATTGAGACTGCCGCACATGAATTTTCAATTCTTTCTCTAAGGGCCATCAGTGTAGCGGTTTCTGTGCAATATATGATGTCTTCTAGGGTCCGCCATATGAGGGTAACACTGTTTTCTTTCCCTGAAGTGTATATACTTTTTTGGCAGACTGTATATATTGAAGAATGGTGAAAGTGAGTAGTCTTGTCTTGTTCCTGGTTTTAAAAGAAAAACTTTCAGTTTTTCCATTTAGTATAATATTGACTATATATTTATCATAAATGGCTTTTATCAGTTTGAAGTAAGATCTTTATATACCTATTTTTTTCCATATTTTATCATGAAGGGTTGTTGTGTCAATTTCATTGCCTATTATTGGTCTATTTAGGGTTTTTATACCTTCTTGGTTCAATTTTAGTAAGTCATACGTGTCTAGGAATTTATCCACTTCTATATTGTCTAATTTATTGGATTATACTTTTTCAAAATAGTTTCTTACAATCCTGTAGATTTCAGTGACATCTGTTTTAATTAATTTTCCCTTTCCATTTTTAATTCCATTGATGTAGGTCTTTCTCTCTTGTGGTAAGTTTGGCTAGAGATTGATCATCTTTTTTTTTCTTGAGACCGGGTTTCACTATGCACTTCAAGCTGGCTCTGACCTCACTTTGTAACCCAAGCTGGCCTCAAACAGCAGTACTTGTGCCTCAGCCTCTCGAGTGCTGGGACTCCAGGAATGCTGCTCAATCTTATTTATCTCTTCAAAGGACTGGCTCTTTTATTCAGTGATCCTTCATATTATTTTAGTCTCAATTTCATTGACTTTCATTCTGATCTTTATAATTTCTTTCCTTCTACTTTCTTTCCTTCTACTTTGGGTTTCAAACTGAGTTCATGAAGCATGTCTCAACACATACAAAAAGTTGAAGTAATCTTTTGGATCCTATCAGATTATAACAGAATAAAACTAGAAATCACCAGCAAAAGAAACCACAGAAACTACATAAATACCTGGATCATTCTTCAAGGATCAATGGGTTATAGAAGACATCAGGGAAGAAAACCTAAAACATGTTCTATTTTGGAGAAAGTTCCATGAGCTACTGAAAAGAATGTATATTCTGCTGTTGTTGGATAACTGATAAATTACTGTAGATCACTGTAGATAACTGATAAATTGATTTGTTCTATGGTGTGGTCCAACACTGATGTTTCTTTGTTGATATTTTTATCTGGCTGACCTATCTGATCAGAAGAAACAAAGACGGCACTGCATATTGTTATTAAAGGGAATAATTTACCAAGAAGTGGTAATAATTGTAAATACATATATACCAAATGTCAACATACCCAATTTCATTTTAAAAACCTACTTGACATAAAAGGATACCAATATAATCATCGTGGGGACTTTAGCACCCCTTTCATATTTTAAACGCACAGTACTCAATACTTAGTATTAATGCAGAACATCCCTCCCTGATTTCAGTAGCCATGTTCCTTTGAGGACCTAGAATAAATAAACTTTAAAATCAAATCCAAGAAGACTTGCTAAATTGAGTCAGCTGCAGTGGTGTACACTGGTAGTTCTAGTTATTCTGGAGACTGAGGTTGTGGGGGTTGCCTAAGTGCAGAAGTTCAAAACAGGGCCGGGGATACAGCTCAGCAGCATAAGCGCCTGCCTGGTAAGCGCAAGGTCCTGAGTTCGACTTCTGGTACCAAAAGAAAAAAGAAAAAAAGAAAAAGAAAAAACAAAAAAAGACTAGCTAGAAGTTCAAACCAGACTAGGCAACATGGTGAGACCCCCTTCTCAAAAAGAAAAAAAAAAGATTTTGAACTATAGATGTAGTGCACTGTTAGAGGGTTTGCCTAGAATGTGAACGGTCTTGAGTTCCATCTCCAACCTCCCAAACCCCAGCCCCACCCCAAAACAACAGAGAAGAAAAAGACTTGTAAATTTTAATCAAAATTAAGTCAACAAAGGGAAAGATACAACAGTGTAAGACAAATAGTAAGTGGTTCCTTTTTGCAGTAAACATAGTATTGCTGGATCCTAAAATAGCTTTTGATCCCAGATCATACCTAGGAGAGGACTTGCAAATACCTCACTCTTTTCCTATTGAAGCCAACTTAGCCAACTTAAGGTAACTACTGTGAAAATTTTTATTTTTTTCCAGTCTTGTGTGTGTGTGTGTGTGTGTGTGTGTCTGTCTGTCTGTCTGTCTGGTGCTGAATAAAAAGGATCAGATCTTCCAGTCTTTTTGTTATGTATATTCTACATCATTGACATGTTCTTTATGTAATTATATCTGCAGTGGCCACATCCACAGATTTAACTGGCCCAGATCAAAACTTATTTTTTAAAATTTGCATTTGCATTGGACACGCAGGCTTTATTTCCTGATATTATTCCCTAAGCAGTACAGTATGACAACTATTTACATAGCATTTACATTGTACATTAGATATTGTAAGTAATGTAGAAATGATTTAAAGTATATCAAAGGAAAAAATAAGGTATATCAGAGGATATATCTATTTTATGCAACTACTCCACCATCTATCTATCTATCTGTCTATCTATTTATCTTTCTGAGACAGGATTTCACTATGCAGTTCAGGCTGGCCTTGAACTCACTTTGTAGCCCAGACTGGCCTTGAACTTACAGCAATCCTCCTGCAGCAGCCTCCTGAATGCTGAGATTACAGGTGTGCACCACAATGCCCGTGTGCATATTGTCTGTGTGTTAAAATTTTTAATATTCTGTCATACAGATGTGTCATTTAGTTATTATAATGTCAGCTATTAGATTGTTTCCAGTTTTATATGTACATATTACTTATAATAGAAGAGTTTCTAATTCAATAAATGTGATCATTTTCAAGGTTCTTGATATATATATTACTTAATTGTAATATGCATCCCTCATCAGGTCCCATTGATTCACTGCATCCTCATCAATATTGAGTGTTCTTATGGTATTTACATATTGAATTTTTTCTCATTTGATAGGTAAAAAAATGGTATCTCAAGTTGTTGTCTTTTTAACATTCTAAAGAGTATCTTTCAAGTCATCTCAGGGAAAGAATGATGTTAATTGTTCTCAGAACTGGATTTTTTCCTAAAAATTAAAACAGTTTTTTCTTTTTGATTAAATGAAATATTGGTAGCTGAAGACAGTTTGATATGGTGAGAGAGATGTCAGACTGGTGAAAGGTATGTGGCCCAATTTAAGACCAAACCCTGAATCCTTTTAAAAAATAAAACATATTTTACATGCTTAAAAAAAGTTGCTTGTGTACTCAGATGTCTATATTAAAAGGTAACGTGTTCAGATTTAACTGGTAGAATTAACATGATAGGAATAAGAATAAATGTTACCAGTAGCACAAGTTGAATATCTGAAATGCTTGACACCAGAATTGTTTCAGATTTTTTTTACTTTTAAATATTTCCATATACATAATGATATTTCTTAAGGGTGAGACTCATATCTGAATATGAAGTTCTCTTATGTTTCATATACATATACACATAGCCTGAGCTGATTTTGGCTGTATCCTGTCACCTGAGGCCAGGTTTGGAATTTTCCACCTGGGGCATTATTTCAGCACTCAAAAAGTTTCAGATTTTTGAGCATTTTAGCTTTCAGATCGTTAGCACAAAGGTATTCAATCTGTATTATCTTAATAGTAGTTTTTCCTCTGTGGTGGTTTCAGATTGAGAAACTGGATGCCCGAGGGATCCAGCTTGCTGCCCTCTTTATGAGTGGGGTCGACACAGCTCTGTTTGCTAATGATGCCTGTGGCCAGCCAGTCCCTTGGGAACACTGCTGCCCCTGGATTTACTTCGATGGCAAGTTGTTCCAGAGCAAGCTTATTAAAGCAGGCCGAGAGCGAGTATCCCTGGTTGAGCTCTGTGATGGCCAGGTACGAGCACTTTGTGCAACTACTAAGGGCCATCTCTGATGTGCTTTGCGGGTGAATGAGTTGGCAGAGAAAGAAAAAGAGCTAGAACACTGGGGAAGGAGGGAATGTAGTAAGAATATGACCTTAACCGAACTTAACATGGTCCCACAAGACCGTATCTGGTATATATTTGTTATATAAAACCATATTTTGGAAACTTTTTTATGAGCTACAAGTATTTCTTCCCCACGAAATACTCACATATCTTACATATCTTTTCTCCAACTCTTGGGATTTCATTTCCCTTATTTACACAAACCATAAGTCATTTTTGCAAGTGATACTATTTCTTAAAAAAAGCTATGTTTAGCTAAATGTAATGGTGCATGCTTGTAATCCCAGCTACTTGGGAGGCTGAGGCAAGAGGATTGCAAGTTCAAACCCAGCCTGGGCAACTTACTGAGACCCTGTGTCAAATAAAATTTTAAAAGAGCTGGGGGCCGGGCCTGGTGGTGCATGCCTGAAATCCCAGCACTTGGGAGGCTGAGGCAGATGGATCGTTGCGAGTTTGAGACCAGCCTGGGCTACAAAGTGAGCTCAAGGCCAGCCTGAACTGCACAGTGAGACCCTGTCTCAAAAAGACAAAAAGAAAGAAAGAAAAGAGGGTAGCCAGGGGTGGGAGGATGCATACTTATATGCCTAGCACTTAGGAAGCTGGGCAGGAGGATCACCACGAGTTCAAGATCAGCCTGGGGTACATAGTGAGTTCAAGACCAGCCTAAATTACATAGTGAGACCCAGTCTCACAAAAACAAAATAAACAAACAAAAAAAGAAACAGAAGAGAGTAGTAAAGCAGATGACAATAGAAGCAAAGGAGCTGAGCATTGTGGCACATGCCTACAATCCCAGCACTCAGGAGGCTGAGACAGGAGGATCGCTTTGAGTTCAAGGCCAGCCTGCACTGCATAGTGAGGCCCTGTCTCAAAAAAAAAAAGTAGAAGCAGAGGAGTTTTTGCAAGGAAACCTGGGAAAAGTTGAGAGAAAACAAGGGAAAAAGCTAATCTTTTTTCCATTTGAGGGAGAGTGAGATAAGGGACTGGAGCAGAGGTCAGCAAACTACTCAGTCTGCTTCCTGTTTTATGGGTTATAACCCACCACGTTTTTGTAAATAAAATGTCGTTGAGACAGGGTCACATGTATTCATTTGTATATTATCTGTGATTATTTTCATGCTATAGTGGCATAGTAAAGTAGTTGTGGCATAGACAGTGTGACACACAAAGCCTAAAATACTTACTTGCCTACCCTTTCCAGAGGAGGTTTGTCAACCTCTGGACCAGACATTGTGCAATTATCCTGGATGGAGCTCAGTCTCCAATCCTGGCTATGAGGGAGAAGGCTAAAAGGCTTTGGTTATGTCAAGTTTTTGCTCTCTCTTTTTTACCTAATTCTGTTATCTCTCCTTTCAAAAATGACCTAACCTTGGCTGAGCACGTAGCTCAATGGTAGGCTGCTCATTTACTATGTAAGGCCACAGAAAGAAAAGTACCACAAAAGAAAAATTATGTAGCTTAAAGGCACAGGCCCTGGATGTGATCACCAGCACTTCAAGCAAACTTAGTCCGTTGCTGGCCATGTAATAGACCATCAGTGAATCCTCACTGTTAGATTTGTTTTCAGTGGCCTAGCTAATATGGTTTGCAGGCTCTTGGTCAGAACTAATATGGCAGTGGTGCAGTTTCATGGGAAGAGTTGGAGCTTTCCTGTGAAAACAGGCTTCTTGAGCTTGTAACCCGGAGTCCTTTAACTCTAGGCCTCAATTCCTTTAGGGGGAGTACAGCTGTGAACCTATACCTAGGATACTCAATACTCTGCCTGAAACGTGGGAGGAGTTCAAAAAACAACAGCTGTTGTTATTATTCTCTTTTTCACTTGAAGGTTGACCTGGCAACCAAAGTGGAAAAGATGAGGCAGAGTATCCTTGAAGGAGTCAACATGAATCATCCGCCACCTTCAGCTCTACTTCCATCACCTACTTTTGTGCCTCCTATGGTGCCCTCTCTCTACCCTGTTTCACTTTATTCCCGAGCTATGGGCTCAGTGCCACCTCACCCTCAAGGAAGGAGCCGGGGATTTGCAGGTCAGTACCTAAAAATGAGGCATTTCCTATCCAACTTATTTTATCCCGGGCCATCCAGCCAGGCATGGTGGCACACGCCTGTAGTCCCAGCACTCAGGAAGCTGAGGCAGGAAGATTGCTGTTAGTTCGAGGCCAGCCTGGACTACATAGTGAGTTTAAGGCTAGGCTGAACTACATCGTGAGACCCTGTCTCAAAAAAATAAAATAAAATAACCCATCTGGTACTTGTTGCCAGTTACAGAATCAACAGTTTTCATATAGAACTTAGCTCACATTTGTGGTGTTTTGTGGTAGTTTGAAGAAAGCTTACTGAGGTGGAGAGATGCGCCATAGGAAAGAAAGTCCATTCAATTTCTAGGCCTCTTCCCATTAGTGGTGGTTGAGTACCAGGGAACCAACCAAAACTCAGGCTGTGACTGAGTCACTTTATTATTTGGAGAACTACAACTCCTATGAACTGCATCTTCACGGTGGTTGTTAGTTCATTCATTCCTTATAGGCAGATATACCTAGGAGCTTGCACAAAGTGGCCAGTGTTGAGAAATGAAGATAGCTTGATGTAGCCATTTCCACTCTGGGGTTAGACCTGATACATTTTTCTTCCTTCTGCTCCAGAAGCATGGAGATAAATGTCACTGTCCATACCCGCAAAGGATTGCAGCTTAGTGGAGAAAAAAAAACACACAAATACATACACCAACATGTACGTACACACATATGTATGTATAAATTATGGTGATACCTGATCTGCTTAATAATGAATGTACAAGCATGCTTAGGTAGCTCAGATACTGATGCTGATACTTCAAACAACCTATCCCTATGTGAAACAGGTTATTTTAATTGGGGGACATTTTAACATAAAATAGCAAGATTCGTGATTGACAGGGTCATTTCGGTGGCTGAATGGTGTGTGTCATCTGTGTGTCTCTCTTCAAAATAATAAAGTTGAATGTTGAAGTTAATCTTTTTAGAGTCACAAAATTAAGCATGGATGTTTAGGTCAAGGATAGGCTTAGACAAACCGTGGGAAAGTTTGCTTCTGGTAGCTCACTGTTCAGTCATACAAGGATCAAGTCTTCCAAACCAGGGAGCTAGCCATTCCATGCCTTTAATGTGACTCTACAGGCCTCCTCTCCGCTCTTACGTGTTGACTTTATTATGCAAGTCTCAGAAGACACCTTAATTAAGGCCATGTTCTCCGCAGGTCCTAGCCATTGCCTCAGCTGCCAGTAATGCTTAGTCTCTCTCCAGTTACTGCTAGCTCATGGGAGCCTCCTGCCTCCTGAAAGGCCACCTTAGGGTCCCTGAATGCAAGTTTTTCTTGTCCCTCTCAGGAGTAGTTCCTCACTCCTTGGAATGTCATTTTTGTATAAACAAATGTCTCTTTACTAATAACCTGCTAATTGAGTTGAGGGTTAGTAACCTTTAATTTCTTTCCATAAACTGATGGGCCTATCAGAGCGCTATATTCTTTGAAGGCTTCCTTTTGTGCCAGATTACAAAACTCAACTGTGCTTGAGTGCTCTTGTATACAAGTTAGAATTTCTTTTGTTCAAAGGATATACTGAGTCATCTTGTCTTGAATCGCTTCTGGTTTTCTAGTGTTGCTAATCTTGCTTTTTAATTATAAGCTACTGCTTACTTTCATTTATTTCTGTTTGGTTGTCTGGCTAATCCTATAGTATTTGGTGGTGTATATTCATTTTGAAAGTAGATTTGGCCTATAATTTTCCAGTAACTCAATTTAAAGATATTCACTCTCAACAAATATTGAGTTCCTAATATGTACAGGCTCTGTAGTTGAAAAATGAATCACTCATACCCTATAGATATGAACTCTTGGAACTGTTAGAGTCATCTTATCAGAGAGAAGTGGAGATAAGAAGAGTAGATAGTCTGTAGGATCTTTTGTTCTACCTCTTATCCATTATGATTCATTACTGCTATTCTTACTGTCTTGCCAGGTCTCCATCCAATCCCACCCCAAGGAGGAAAACTGGAAATTGCCGGGATGGTGGTGGGCCAGTGGGCTGGCAGTGGGTCCTCCAGAGGCCGAGGATCCTTTGGCATGCAAGTGGTTTCTGTCGGTGGGCCAGGAAAGGGGTATGTTTTTCACTGGGTTGGTACAAACTAGTGTCAATCAAATTGTCCTTGGGAAAATGCCCAACTACTTAATCCTTCAATTAAGGTAAGAGGGATTAACCAACTTTCCATATTTAAAGCCAGCTTTCAGTTTAGTTTAGCAAACAAAATAAATGTCCTACCTTGATGGAAACGTTTTGTACTAGAGGAGATCAGAAACAAAGACCAATTCAGTATAACATAGAAAGGACAGAAGCTAGAATAGTAACACTGAGGAGGGGCATTTAACTTACCAAGGACAAGCTTCCTGGAAGGGTGAATAGTTAACCAAGTAAAAATGAAGGAATAGATGCTGTCTCTCATGTTCCCTTTCTCTCCTATTTGCTAAAGGCATGGAAAAGAACAGACTGGTAGAGGACCTAAAGGACACAAAAAAGGAAATAAACAAGTAAGTACCTTTGTTTTTGAGATTATCCAGCTTCTGTTTGATACCGCTTTCCTTTTCAGTTACCTTGCAAGACAGCACATCAGGAATGGAAACCTGCACTTCTTGGGACGGGGGGGGGGCTTTCACACCTTCTCCAGGCATTTGATTTCATTTACCTTCTCTGAGAAGTCTACTGAGGACTAGATTGCCCAGGACTGTTGCCACAAGCAGTGAAGTCTCAGTCCTTATCCCCGAGCCTTATCTCTGAGTCCTTATCCCGAGATAGACATGGAGTACAGTGTTCTGAAGACCTGTGCCTAGCATAGAATTTTCTGCATGCAGTCAGAAAGGGGTCAGAGAATGAGTCTAATAGTGAGATTGCCTCCAACCTGCCTGACATTCTGACAAGCTGCCAGAAGTGCTTAGAAAATCAGATTTTTGCCCTCGCCACATCTGGAGGAGTGGAGAAACATTGCCATTCTGTTTATTCCTAATGACTTAGAAAAGTATTGCACTTTCTCCTAGTCTATGTTTTGCATTTTATTGAGTCCACATTAGATATGCCTCTCCCTCTAAATAATAGACTATGAGGAACTATTCTTGTAGTGATCCAGAATCTCAGACTGGGGCTGTGGGTGTAGGTCAGTGGTAGAAGGCTTGTCTAGCATCTTTAAGGCCTTGGATTTAATCTCCAGCACTGCCAAAAAAAAACTTGTAGTAGACCAAAACTGCTGGACTCTTTATAGTATTACCAGCTACTATTTCTTCTTTCTCCCTCCCCTAATCTCTCTCTCTCTTTTTTTTTTTCCCGGTACCAGGAACCAAACTCATGACCTTGTGCTTGCCAGGCAGGCGCTGTGACGCTGAGCTAAATCCCCAGCCCCTCTCGTTCTTTTTTCTTTCTTTCTTTCTTTCTTTCTTTCTTTCTTTCTTTCTTTCTTTCTTTCTTTCTTTCTTTT